CACATATTTATAAATAAAGGTATACATAAGTATTTATCAATTCTTTTTTTTAAAATTCCAATTAAGGATAAATAACACAAACTTTTTTCAGAAATCAGCATTATTTCTCATAGATTTACATTTGAATTGACAACCTGAATAATGTTTACCAAGTATATAGAGTGGGAGAATTTTATTAAATTTCGTCATACAGTTAAAAACATGTGCAAAATTTTGTATGGAATTATATAGAAGGCTAAATAAAATCTCAAATCTAAGCACCAAGGAAAACCTACGATTTCTATATACTTCAGGGATTTATTATATGAATTCAAATCAAAATCAGTCAAAAAATATATATCAACCCGCGCATCCATTTTTTGTTTGTGGTAAGTACCCTGAACATGATTAACGTCATACGCAACGTAGTTTGAACATTATTGGGTTCTTTCCTGAAGTTGAAAAGTTCCACTAAACGAAGGACCTGTGTGAACTATTTTAAATGTCTATATACGGATTTATACACCTCTTCCAAAACAAATTTGATGGGAAAAAAAATCTGGAATTTATGTTTTGTATTTTTTGTATATTTTTCTGAATAATGCAAAAAAATTCATAATTTGATATCTTCCAAAATACCCCGGTAATGCATGCTGAATTTTTCTCTATGAACATCTGATGGCACTATAATCTTAAATCTTAAATCTTTAATCTTAAATTAAGAATATCTTGAAAAAGTCATCAGTAGATAAGGTACGTTGCGTATGTTCTTAAGATATGCAGTATTTTTCACTGAATTAAGTAATGAGTAAAAATAGATGAATATTAGGACAGGTGATACAAACTATTGTTTCTTTAATTGGAGGAACTTAAGTCTTGTTACAGTTTTAGAAAAATGAATAATTCTTTGATTATTTTCTTCGATAACTTTGAGAATGAAATACTTTCCACTCCCCACCCCCTCCGAAGTACACAACTAGTGAAATCCTGGTAATATTGTTTAATCTTCATTTATTTACCCTCCTTCTTCTTTAAAAGTAATTCTTAAGGAACACGAAGTGAATTGATGATACGTTTACCCAATGACCTCTTGTATTTTCTTGCATAAAAAGTGACACTTAGATTAAGTTGATCCTTCAATAAAATTAAAAATAGGAAAAATCACACTCAGTAAAGGTTTACATATGAAAACAAATTTCAGAATACGTCAAGTTGGTGCTTAAAATGTAATATAAACATTTTTTTTTTCAAAAATATATAAGGCTTTTCGGTATACTCTAGTTTAGAATAGGTTTTCAATTTCTGCATGGCAAAATTTGCAAAACCAAATACAAAATGAAGTGCTTGGGATCTTATTTCATGGACTATTAAATTTCTTTGATTACACTTACTCTACAATCAACAATCGTAACAGTACGTGTAACCGACTCAGACGAGTACATTGTTGATTTACCCAGAGTAGGCCATATTTCAGTCATATTTCGGAAGTAATTCCAGTGCCGAGAGCGCTATTATCTGATTTATTTAAGCTGAAATCTTGAATTTATAGAGGGGGTTGTGCCTTCTACACTATAGAGGTCATGCTATTGGTTATGCTATTTTTTATATTTCATTGTATAATGAGGGATCAATTCTGCCTGCCTGTGCCTCACCCCTAAACACCCCCTACACACCCTCACATACACAAAGACGGATCCAAGGCAGGCATGCGCCCACTCCCCCTGTTCCCCCCTTTGAATTTTCGCTAATGAAATATGTATATTTATTTTCCTAAAGTCGAGGGAAAAATGTTTTATTTGTAAAGATTTGCCAGATTCCAGGGGGCGATGTCCCCGTAACCCACTATAGGGCCTTGCGCTAGGACCCAGTGAGTCTTCAGTGAGTCTCCCAGACCCCCTCTACCTTCTACTGCGTCCTCCTGATACGAAATTTCTGGATCCGCCACCGATTATATTTTATATACTAGTATATGTCAAACGTTTGTAAAATGAAGAGATTGTTATCTAGACACATGGAAAAGCCTCTAATAAATTCGTGAAGACTCCCAACAAAGCCAATATATGTACCTGAATTGGCCATATAGATAAGAATCACTCCGGCATGTAGACTGGAATTGATGCTTATTATATCTGTTGACATCGGTTTCGATCACCATGTAGTGTTTAATATATTCGTCATTATTTTGATTCTTTCTAAAATACTTTTGATTTATTTGTGGAATGCATCCTTAGGTTTTTTAAGATATCTTTTTTATTGTTTTTTATGATTGATTCAATGAACGTATCTTCTTTAAAATTATTTCCCTCTAAAATTAGTTATTTCACGATCACGAAAATGGAATCATGCAGGAGTTAACTTTCCTCTAATGCTATTTTTACTTTTTTCATGAGTGATAGGGCAAAGAATCTCTTTCTAACAAAACTTTAAAGATATGTACTTACAAAGATATGGGCAATATAGCCCTATATACAAATATTTGATTTATCAGATCGATAATAGCAAACTGTACGTGAAATCATACGTCATTCTATGCTGGAATGATTTCAATTAACAAAAGAAAAAAAAATTAAATGCTCTCTTAATCGTTGTATAACTTGGCACTTGGATTTAGATCCACATTTTCACATTAGATTTAAAGGAGGTGAAATAAATGGTTGCTTTTCGGATACTTTACCTGGATATATGTGATAAAGACTAACAATGACATTGTATGATAAATGTGATGACTTCAACTTTTCCGTCGTCAACTTCCCTAATTAATATAAGTAGCAATATTAATATATTCCGCAATCTCCTGCACATATAATCAATTAAAATTAGATCTTTGATCCACTCCAGTTTGATCGCTACACAAAGTGAAAATGGAGTGGATCAAAGATCTAATTTTAATTAGATTGCTACACATGATATTTATCTCTGCCAACTTATTCGCTGCATAAGGGCATGTTCAAAGTGCAATCAATATTAAAACTTCGATACGTTACTCATAAAAAAAGATTATGAAATTTGGATATCAACGGTCAGCAACATTTCGTTAATTCTATGCTTATTATATTGACCTGATTTAAGTATATATTCCGATCACACGGTCGTATTTTGGCTTAATTGCTTCCAACCAAATGTTAGACCTTTGTTTTATACAATATTTATCTACGTAATTGTCCACCTACTTTACCAATGCATAGGGTTTTCAGTATGTGTGACAAGTTAACAGGGGATGTTTATTTCTTTAAGGTGACCAATCCCTTCTCGGGAATTTCTAGAAGTCCTTGGTTTTGCCACATTTCCAAATTTATGTGTATATTGTTTGTATGAAATATTATGAGATGTACCGCTGTTTCTTTTGAATCAGTTTTCATTAGCAATTAAAAATGTTTTAAAGTTTTCTGTGTTATGGAAAATATGTTAAAACTGATTCCTATGGTGGCATATTTATGCCATCGTCATAAACTTTTGTCAACATAGCATATCATGTCAAGTCAAGATAATTATCTTGTCAAGTGATGAATATATTCAAGGTTGTTGTCAAACACTGACTTTTATCATGTATTATTCAAATAAGCTTTTTTATTTTTGTAATGGGTATCTCGACAAAATAAAAGATATAGATTATCTTGTAATGCGACTAATTGTTGTCTCATCGAGTCAAGATAGCTTGCAACAAAATATGATAGCTTATCTTGACTGGAGAAGATGTAAACGGTGTTTGTCGACAAAGCAGGAAGTTATCATCATTTAACGAGATAGTTATCTTGACTTCACATGATAATGTAATGTTGACAAGGTAAATAAGACAAAGGTGCTTATATTCCCCCTTATTGTAGGTTGCTCAATTTACACCCCCCCCCAAAAAAATGATAGGATATATATATATATATATATATATATATATATATATATATATATATATATATATATATATATATATATATATATATGAATAAATGTATAATCATTTATCATTTAAAAAATAAATCCAATTAAAATATACATATATTAATGAAATTTATTCCAAATAGCCGCCCAGAGTTAGATTATATGTATGTGCAGTATTATTACATAATTAAGAAAGGAGTAAAATTGATTCATATAAGGACAGATGGTTCAAACCATTGTTTCTGAAGAGGAAAATAAAAATTATATAACAGTTTTGGAAAATTGAATAACTCTTTGATTTTGTCTTCTTAAACTTGGAGAATGAAATACCTTCCTTATTTCAACCTTTTCCGTACAAATTATGGTCCCACCCCCTTTTTCAAGCCTTAACAATGCTGCATTTAAATTTTGAGATTCTCCCTCTGTAATAGAGCTCATTGTGTAAGTTGTACATGTTTCATTCCTCAACGCTTCAAATTCCTCAAGGGACTGCACCGGCATACGGTGACGTCTTCAAATGAGTGAAAAATTCTCGCGAGGGACGTTAAACAAAATACATCAATCAATCAATTAAAAGAGATAAAGGTACATAAAATTCAGGTTTCAATATTCTAAAGTCAATCTTTTTAATCAATTGAGTGCAAGTGATGTCATGTCTAAAAATGTGAAGTAGAGAAAATTTGGAATTTAACCTCTTCCCCAAAATCATTCATTTTAAAGCACATACCACTTCCTATTTTTAATGCAAAATCACGCATATACCCTTTCCCCATAATCACGCATTTTTAAAAGTACATTCAATCCTTAATTTAATGCCAATTTCTTACTATTATATACTTAATAAAATCTCATAAAATAAGAAAAGTAATTTTTTTTATTAGAATATCAGTTCATTACATTATTTAAGCTAAATTTTAGAAAAAATTGAACTGCGCCTTAAAGTGCTTGCGGGGAAAAGGTAACGTCATATTTCATATTTCTATTACATGCACATCAGTTGCATTAAGTTGTTCAATAACAACTGCACTGAGCTTTCATGTCCCTTTTGACAAGCCATAAAAAGAGTACTGTCTCCATCTTTGGTACATAAATTGATGTCGGAACCATTGTTCAGTAACAATTATACCTTGCTATCTTGTCCATTTTTACAAGCCATACATTGTAGAAAGAGGACTGGTTCCATCGTTTGTACATAAATTGATGTCGGCACCGTTGTTAAGTAACAATTGCACTGTGCTATTATGTCAATTATCACAAGCTACATAAAGGGGGGTGACTCCATTCTTGTAACAAGAATTAATGTCCGCGCCGTTTTTCAGTAACAGCTGTACCGTGCTATCAAGACCTTTATGACGAGCTATGCAAAGAGGACTAAATAGATTATTATCACATAAATTTATGTCGGCACCGTTGTTCAGTAACAGTTGTACTGTGCTATCATGTCCTTTTTGACAAGCTATATAAAGAGGACTGCCTCCTTTTTTGTTACATGAATTGATGTCGGCACCGTTGTTCAGTAATAGTTGTACCGTGCTATCATGTCCTTTTTGACAAGCTATATAAAGAGGACTCAATCCATCATTATCACATAAATTGATGTCTGCACCGTTGTTCAGTAACAGTTGCACCGTGCTATCATGTCTTTTTTGACAAGCTATATAAAGTGGACTCAATCCATCATTATCACATAAATTGATGTCGGCACCGTTGTTCAGTAACAGTTGCACCGTGCTATCATGTCCTTTTTTACAAGCTTTATAAAGTGGACTCAATCCAACATTATCACATAAATTGATGTCGGCACCGTTGTTCAGTAACAATTTTACCGTGCTATCATGTCCATGTTGACAAGCTAGATAAAGAGGACTCAATCCATCATTATCACATAAATTGATGTCGGCACCGTTGTTCAGTAACAGTTGTACCGTGCTATCATGTCTTTTTTGACAAGCTATATAAAGTGGACTCAATCCATCATTATCAAATAAATTGATGTCGGCACCGTTGTTCAGTAACAGTTGTACCGTGCTATCATGTCCTTTTTGACAAGCTATATAAAGTGGACTCAATCCATCATTATCACATAAATTGATGTCGGCACCGTTGTTCAGTAACAATTTTACCGTGCTATCATGTCCTTTTTGACAAGCTATATAAAGAGGACTCAATCCATCATTATCACATAAATTGATGTCGGCACCGTTGTTCAGTAACAGTTGTACCGTGCTATCATGTCTTTTTTGACAAGCTATATAAAGTGGACTCAATCCATCATTATCAAATAAATTGATGTCGGCACCGTTGTTCAGTAACAGTTGTGCCGTGCTATCATGTCCTTTTTGACAAGCTATATAAAGAGGACTCAATCCATCATTATCACATAAGTTGATGTCGGCACCGTTGTTCAGTAACAGTTGTACCGTGCTATCATGTCCTTTTAGACAAGCTATAAAAAGAGGACTCAATCCATCATTATCACATAAATTGATGTCTGCACCGTTGTTCAGTAACAGTTGTACCGTGCTATCATATCTTTTTTGACAAGTTATAAAAAGAGGACTCAATTTATTATTATCACATAAATTGATGTCTGCACCGTTGTTCAGTAACAGTTGTGCCGTGCTATCATGTCTTTTTTGACAAGCTATATAAAGTGGACTCAATCCATCATTATCACATAAATTGATGTCGGCACCGTTGTTCAGTAACAGTTGCACAATGTTATCGTATCCATTTAGACAAGCTATTAAAAGAGGATTAAATCCATTCTTGAGACATAAATTGATATCGGCACCATTGTCCAGTAACAGTTGTACCTTGCTTCTATGTCCTTCTTGACAAGCTACATAAAGAGGACTGGCTCCATTGTTGTCACATAAATTGATGTTGGCACCTTTGTTCAGTAACAGTATTACCGTGCTGTCAAGTCCAATTTGACAAGCTGTAAAAAGAGGACTGACTCCTTTCTTATCACATGAATTGATGTCGGCACCGTTGTTCAGTAACAGGTATACCGTGCTATCATGTCTTTTCTGACAAGCTATATAAAGAGGACTGGCACCAGTATTTATGATGTCTGCATTGATGTTGGCACCATTTTTTAATAATCGAATAATGGTTTCATTACGTCTTTCTCCCTCAATTGAGTCAGTCTTTTTTCCCGCTTCCTTCAAGTGTTTTTCATCATTGACAACAGCTAAATGTAATGCATTGAAGTTGTTATTGGAAAACTTGCTCACATCAGCACCAAGTCGTACCAATTCCTCAATTATTAAAGCATTATGGAATACTGAAGCAACATGAATTGGTAAAAGATGTTTCCATGTTTCCATCATTCCTGCTCGTTTATATTCATCGCTGAGATGATTCATTAGGTTTAAATCGCCATTTGCACAAAGAGCAGAAAATAAAGGATATTCCATCAACCTTGTTTCATTAATACCTTTTAAGATAAACGAAGAAATTTCATTATGACAAAATATGATTAGTCCGACTAAAGGACATATTTCATCCTGCAAATAAAGGAAATTAAGTCTTGAGAAAAACATACTCCCAAATGTTATTCCAAATTTTGATATGTCTTTCTCACATATAGTTTTTACAAGAAGCTGTTCAAGCAAGTCCTCCTTTTCTTTAAAAGATTTGATGACACTTTCTTCCCTTAAACATGGATTGAGTAGAACATCTACAAGGTGCTCTGTTTGCATGTCAATGATAAATCTGTCCACAAGATCACCAATGTACTCTTCAGGAAGGTAAACAGTGAAGGGATCACGGTCTTCCTCTTCTGCATCGTCTTTTATCTTCATCCGACGTCTCAGAAATCCACTGTCTGCGTACTGTATTGTCTCTTGTGGACAATCAACACCAAACACCAGAGTCGTTATCTCCATTATAAAGTCGTGAAGGAATTCGAAAACATTTCCGACTTGTTTGACATAAGATCCTCTCAATTCATGTAGAGTACTACGAATGACTGAAATATGTGTGTTTTTTTGTAGCTCACACATTCCTAAAATGTTCTCAAATTTCATATCATTTTTACCAATACTATCGATTTTCAACTTGTTTTTAAATGCTACTAACAAGATAAGTGCGCAAAATTTTTTTTTGTCTGTTTTCTTCCAAATTTCAATTTCATTTTTAATAAATCTGTATGGATGTTTGAAGAAATCAACCCCCTTTTCTTTGTAGGTTGACTCTCTTGAAAAGAGCTTACAAAGCAACGGAAAGTAAGCTTCTGTTTTAATTATTTCAGAAACAACTTCTTCGGATAAACCCAGACTCTGTGAATACTGATTAAAAATCGCTTTTTTCTCTTTAACAGTCAGTCCATTTGTTTTGTTGTCAATTTCTACTGCAGTGGATTCGTCCAGTAAGATACCCTTGATTCTCTTGTCATAGAAAACGCATCTTCTACATGATATCAATAGTTTATTTTTCTTCAAGCAAATTTTCAGCGTTTGCTCTAAATTTTTCCATGAATGATATAAAATTTCATCTACAGATTCCTTACCCAAAGGATCATTGAATACAAATAATATACGGTCTGAGACTTCGGATGAACAAATCTTTTTAATCTCTTTAACCTTATTAACTGGCATGACATTCCATCCCAGCTTTTTCATTATGAGTGCAATATGTTGAATTATTGCAGATTTTCCGGAACCAGAATTTCCAACCACCGTGATAAGGTGATGACTTTTAAGCTTTTCCTCAACCACTTCACTTGCTCTTGTAGGAATGAAGGCAACGTCATCTTCTCTCCAGTTGTCAAGAATTGCTATCACCAGTGGGTTCCCTGTAAAATATATGTACTTTTGAAATAAAAATCGTAATAATGTGGATATTCTGCATAAGGCACATTTGTTTAATTTGCAAAAAGTTTTCAGGAAACATTTTTGAAAATACTGATAATAAAAAATGTATTGAGTAAATTTAAGTTCGTATAATATACTAATCTGTATATATATCATACATAGTAAATATTATTAATAATTCTATTTAATCACCTTTGTTATCGGATTTCGTTTTCAATTCTAGCATATCCTGTTCTAAAGAAGATATCTTTTCCATAACAGATTGATTATTCTTAAAATCTTCTTTAAGTTTTTCTTTTACTTTTAATTCGTTCTCCTCTTCCAAGGCCTGACTTTGAATATTACTTAGTCCAGACATGTAGTCCTTCTTTGTGAAAGCTTGTAGTCTTTGGCAGGTGTCTGTTATGAGAGACCATGTATCAACAAAATCTGTCTGTGGGATAGAAGGCGAGCTGATGTGTCCAATCATGTTGTTTCTTATCATCCTGATCCTCTCAATGTCGTCGCCGATCGTTGTTTCTCCGACTGACGGCATTGTGTTTCCACCCCAACCCTTTGTAGGAAGTGGAATCTTTGTACATATGTTTCTTATCAGTGTATATAACAATGTAATATCCAATTCTTTATAACCATCTGTTTTGGCGCCTAAGAGGCGGAGCTCTTGCTGGGGGCGTATTTTCTTATAAATCGATGATGACTTCACTTTGTTGTAGACAAGACAAGGAGGTACCTCCATTTCTAGGACATCTCTACAGGCCTGGGTCAGTTCTCCGTAAATTGCCATTCCTAGTTTGGCAAACCTGGAACGGTCACCAGGATTTGGTCCAGAAGCCATTATTAGGTATTTTACAGTTTAAAAAAAACCTGAAATAAAAATTTGATATTTTATTGATTTTATTCCGTAATCAATGTTTAATAAATTCAGCGGAATTATTTATTGATGTTGTTTCAAACTTTTATATTTCTATTTATGTGTTGATCGTTATTATCATTTTGGATTAACCTGCTTCCGTAGAATTAAAACGTGTAAACAGGGATTATTACTAAGAATAAATAGACTTTACGCCCTATTGATTTTTTTCTTCCTCCAAGCTGTAAATGAAGAGAATACTAAACATTTTTAAGCTATAGGGAAAAACGCAATATTTACATGATTATATTAGAAAGTCATGCATTTGATAAGCAACCATATTGAATTAATAAAAATGTCACAATTCATTAAAATTCATACTTATATATCTTAATTAGATAATTCTGTTATTCAATGTCAAGATTTAGAAAATAAAAAAAAGCCAAATGATTTATAAACTTTGAAAAAAACTCCTTTATTAATGCTTTATAAGTTAATCGTGGTCATATAAGGGTTATGGCAAGTCAAACGTTGCTATATTTGATAATCATGTGATGTATATTCAAAATCTTGTGATGTAGGTTCAAAATCTTGTGATGCATTTTCTATAATCTTGTGATGTACGTTTAAAATGTTGATGTTTATTCTTTAATCTTGTGATGCATATTCGAAATCTTGTAATGCATATTCGAAATCTTATTATGTAGATTCTATAATCTTGTGATGTATGTTTGAAATCTTGTGATGTTTATTTAAAATCTCGTGATGTATATTCTATAATCTTGTGATGTATGTTTGATAATCTTGTGATGTATATTCGAAATCTTGTCATGTGTGTTCTAAAATTTAGTGATGCGTGCAATAATATTGCCCTATGGGTAATCTCACGCAACAGTATTCCAAAAAGTCAGGACAATTTTCATTGGTTGGAAATAACGAAAGTAGCCGGGGCGGTGATCGACATCGTGATGCACCCAACTTTGCATGTGTAAAAATGGCGAATTCAACCTAAAGTCAAAATTATAGGAAATGATATTGTAAGACAGGATTGTGTTGGTATAATGAAAGACTAAGTCAGTCATAACGAGAAAAGTGGGAATCAAGAACATTAATTTGATTTGTTTTAATGTATTTTAACACACGACATCAAAAACAATTTAATGGCTAACTGCTGGAGAATGTTTTATCCCATCTTAAGGTCTTCATATTGTAGTGATGTTGATTAAAATTCATCTTATATATGTCCTAGTTAGAATACTCTAACTCAGTTATTGTGTCTCGGGACAAACTCTTACCACGCAAGGTTCGAAATTGGCCAAATGACCGTAGCACCAGTCCAGAGACGATCTTGCACTAAATAAATAATTAATTAACACAACAATTTTTTAGGTGAAGTTGGCTGTCAGGAAAAGATTCATTCACATGCATTATTGATTATTGTCATTCACAAATTTGTCCAATTATTTTTATATTAAATGTATTGAAAATTTCCAAATATTTCAAAGCCTGAAATAACAATACATTACAGCCTAAAATTATAAATTCAAAAAATCGTAATATATGTAATGAAAAATCATATTCTTGACAAGCAATAAACAAAAAAATCATAAAAAAATCTAAGCTAAAAATCATTGTTGCACATCTGCGGTAATGTCTTTGATCTTCTTTGCAGTTGAATAGATTTAGTGCTTAATGATACATAGCAACAAGTTTGACAGCATGTAAGTGAATTCATAAAATACATGAATGCATTAAACTGTGAAATACAGATTTCGTACATTTAATTAAAATACACAGCACCAATACCCCATCCCCCCTTCACAATCTAGCAACTTTCTTTTTAATTCAAAGTCTATAGGCAACATCCCAAACTGTCCTCGGTACTGTACCAGTTTATGAGGGAACCAGCCGTAGTGGACAAAGCACGTTACATCATAGTAGGATAGGTAAGTCTCTGGAGTAGTGTTTGTAGCAATTCTTGTACGTGGTCCTGCACCGAAGCTTCAGGATTTTTGATATATATTTCTGCATGGATTCTCTCATGGCTTTGGTTCTTCTCAGAAACATGTGACTGGTGGTGGTCCCTATATTCTTCTGGCTTTTGTGGTGAGGAATGCTTCATTTTTAGCTCACCTGAGCCGAAGTTTACAGTTTTTTCTATTACTGTAGAAGTACTTTTCCCGCGTGATATTAATTTACGCTTTTAATGCAGTCATACATTTTCTGCGGAAATTTGATCAAGAATACTTAATATAAATGTAGGGAATATAGCGACAGTCTAGAAAATCCACATAATATTCTAACCACAGATTAAACAGAATTTGATATTCCACGGAATTATGACCCCATGTATTATAAATTTATGTGTTGATTAATTTATTTTTGAACTGCCTGGTCTTTTATGAGAAACTCCTAACTTTGATGACCGATGGAAAAGCCTACTCCCCCCACTCCTAAAGAACCCCATATCTTTATCACGAGCCATTATCCAGCGATCACTTTTATCAAAGCTCCAGGGTACATTATGAAGTCTCTTTTGACACTATTTTTTCCAGTCGCTTATTTTGTTTTAGAAATAAAATAATTTTTTGCTAATCAATTCTTTATAAATCAGTGAACTTCCTCTTTTGTAGCTAATTAGAGATTATTAATTAGAGTTAAAAAAAAATTTAAGCAGATAGCCAAAACCCCAAACATTTCAACTTGCATTTCTTTCCATTTTTTTTTCAATATTTCACTCATTAGATTTTTCTTAAGTTTTAATATGAAAATACTGTAGGTGAATTTGTACAAAAAATTTAACTAAAACTTAAATTATCTGTTAGGAAGAGTAATCTCTTATTCTAAATCCCTTAAGGACAAAGATAAATTTTGATGAAAGATAAATAACTCAAGAGACAATTTGTTCAAATTTCATTTAATATAATTAACTTTTAGTTGTCTTAAAATTAAAAAAAATATGCTATATATTGGCACTTTTAAACTTTTTTAGTAAAGTAAGTCAAAGATCTAGGTCAATGTTCACAAGAGCAGTAACCATGACAATTTACAAATGCCATATTGCCAAGAAATAAAGGTGCAAAATATTAAGTCCGTATCTCTTACAGTTTTTGAGGTACGAAGTGTGACAGATGGACAGACGCCGAGTACAGTGATCCCTTGGTCCCGCTCTGATCCACAGACGACACAAAAATGATGTCAGCATATAAAAATCTTTTGGATATCATACTCCAGTTAACCTAATGCATTACAACTCAAAACTGGATTTATGAAGTCAGGTCCAATCATGAGTCTGTTAATCTGTCTATGCCAACAATTTTGCAGAGAAATTCTATATGTAAGTCTTTTGCTTTTGATTATTCATTTCAGTTAATGTTTTAATAAATGTTGTGATGTTAAGCTTAAGTGTTGTTCTTATTTTTGTCAGGTGTATATATACAAATCAATGACCTCATACAAAATTTTGCTTTATAAATACCGTATACAGGGTTTTTTTCGTTTGAGCTATTTTCGTACTTTCACACTTCCCAACAATTTTGCCCCTGTTTTAAATTCGCCCTTTCACAGTTCTGTTAATGATATTATGCTGCATTTTTTGAATTCACCCCATTTTAAATTTGTCCACCTATGAGTGGGGCTAAAGGGGCGAAAATACAATGTAGAATGGGGGCAAACATTTTCCTGTATATAGTAGATATATTGGACAATCTTTGTAAATCATAAAATTATTGCTTTCTGTAATGGTTGTGTGACAAGTATAAAGTGTAGTTTCCTCTATTTTAGGTACTACATGTATATGATGTTTTCTTTTTATAATTTTCTCTAGTACAAAACCTCATTAATTTAGGTAACTATGTACATGTGTGTGTTTTCAAAATTTGCTTTTTTAGACACCCGACGCGAATGTTCAAATGAGCCTAATGTGATAAAAATTTGTTCACTGTCCGTATTGTCATTATTTTTCATCAACGTCTGCAAAACTGTCAATTTCATCCAAAATTTTAACATGTGTGAGCTAAAAAAATGTTTAAGTTTATAATGAAGCATCCTTATAATTAAACCTTTTAGCATCAAAGAGAATAAAATAGAATTTTAACTGAAGGCAATATCTTTATTAAGTGAAAGAGAATTAGATCCATGGTACATATAGTGGAGGTCTTCAAGATTATTTCTCAAATCCCATTTCTTTGAGAACCATTACATGTATCACGTGTCTTCAAAATAATTGAAATGATTTAAATTTAATGCATTAATTTTCTTGTTCATGAACTTATTTTTACACATTAGAAGAATACAAAGATAAGGGGCCATTCCTAGTTTTTTCTTTGTATAGTATCCACCCTAAAATCAAAAACCTTTCTGTCTGAAACAATACACAATTGTGTAACCATAAAATTTCTCATCTTCAATTGAGAATTCCCTGTGCATTGTAACTGTAGTCAAACTACTAGATTATTAAAAGAGAAAATTATTGGTACACCGTTTATTTTTTTTTTGTTAAA